ATAGATAGATAGATAGATAGATGATAGATAGATAATAAATAGATAGAGATAGATACTTCCCACCAAAGGGGTCCCTATTTTTCTACTTGCATTTTTACATGCTTTCGAAATGCTAGATTGGCAGAAGCTGGGACAAATAACAGGAGTTTACTCCGTTACATAGCGCTAGGGATTTGAACCACCGACCCGCTGACCTTTCTGATTGACAAGCTCAGTGTCTTAGCCACTGAGCCACCACATCCCTTCATCATCATCAATCCCTTGCGGGGTGGAGACTGGGCAATTCAATGGCGTTTTGAGTATTTACTGGCTGGATGCCTTACCTGTTGCCAGTATGGAGTTTTGCTCGGCAGATGTATTCTCATTGTACCCAGAGACCTAGGATCGAACGCACAGCCTCTTGTTTGGGAGACGAGAGCGCCGCCTCTAGGCCATCGTGCCACTCGGTTGTGTCCCACACGCGCCACCCACAAATTCAAAATCCCCCCCTTTTTACAGCTTTCGTCTCTTGCAGGTGGCAAAACCCCACTGCAGTCGTTCCTGGGCATCGCCGAACAACATGTGGGTCCCAACAATGGGGTGAGTAACTGGGCGACCATTGAGCTGGTGTGTTTTTTCCGGGGTGTGTGTGTGTCAAAGGTCACCAGTGTTCTGCTTCTTGTGTCAACTCCTAAAATATTTCTATATTGCCAAAAGAAAGGGAGCGGGGAAAGGGAGTTTGAAAGAGCAGTGCGGCCGCTTGGAAATCGAAAGTGCATTCCATAAATGATTTTTTTTCAAAGATAGTAACCAGGTGACTGAAGTTTCTGCCAAGCAAAATTTCTAACGGGTGAGAATGATTGATGCAGTCTGGGCTATTGTTGCGGTTCACCGGCAGCCGGTGCAAACGGCAGCGGAATCAGACCAGTGGGGAAGAACGGCGACCAATTCGGGAGTCTGGAGAGGACTTGGATTAGAGTCCTGTGTCCGATGCAGGGATGGGGCCATCTGGGAGTGGGGTGCTGCCTCTGGAGCCTGGCAGCAGCGAGGAAGAGGACCCAGGGGAGCCTGTTCCCAGTGCGCGTATGCACAGAGCTGCCAGAAGGCAAGAGCAGCTGAGACAAAAGAGGCGACTTGGGAGTAAGGCTGGGAGGTGATTGCCTCTCCCCTAAGGTATAAAGGACAGGCAAAGGTAGAGAAACCTTTGCAGGAAGCAAAGTCATTCGCTCGGTTTGGATTAATCCTTGAAGCTCTGTGTACTTTGGTTGTTGTTTTTTCTGGTACTTCGGTTGGTTTCTGTTATAATTAATTGGATACTTCTGTTTTTTTGGCAGCATTCCATAGCCCTGAAAGGTGTGTGCTTATCTTGGGGAACTGTTTATAATTAGTTCTGGCTGGGAATGAAAGTAATTCCCAGTGTTGCAATAAAAGGTTTTGCTTTTAAAACAAGTTTGATATTATTTCCGTTTAGACGAAGCCTGAGTCAGAACAGCTGTGGATGTGTCCCATTGGAGAATATGAATTACGATACACGCGGAGGGGTGGGGGGGAAACCAGGGTCAAGGGTGACAGTGAATGATGTGCCTCAAGAGTCGGCTGCACCCAGGCAGTGCTGGCATGTTAATTCCCAAATAAATCCTTTTGAAGTTTTGGAAGTTTGGCTCGAGACTCAGGATTGAAATGGGGGTCGCTGCTGGAATCCTGACATTTGCTTGTAGTTTTGAAATACAGGCAGGCCTTGACTTACGGCCATTCGTTTCATGATGGTTTGAAACTATGACAGTGCTGTAAAAAAGCCACTTGCAGTCTGTCCTCACACTTATGACATATGATTCAAGATTTCAGGCACTTGCCAACTGGCGCGTTACTGGGAGTCCTCGGCGTACGACCGCAAGGGAGCCCAAAATTTTATGCTGCTAAGGGGTGAGGCGTTTGTTCAGTGCGGTTTGCCCCGTTTTACGACTGTCCCTGCCTCGTTTGTGAAGTGAATCACTGTGGCTCTTAAATGAGCAACTCGGACATTAAGCGAATCAGGTTTTCTCCCGGTGAGTTGGCTCGTCAGAGGGGTGGCCAAAGGGGATCGCGTGAGTCCAGGACACTTTCTGACAATCGCAAGTGTGAGTCATTTGTCAAGCATCCGAATGTAAATTGTTTTGACGATGGCAACGGGGGCAACGGTCGTAAGTGTGAAACCAAATCACTTTTTTCGAGTGCCGTTGTAGCTTCGAACGGTCACTGAATGAACTGTCGTAAGTCAAGGTCTATCTCTATTTATGGCATTTGCACTGTCCTGGGGTCACATGTGATCCCCATGGGACTTTTCCAGCTGGCTTCCGACAAGCGAAGTCAATGGGGGGGGGCAGTCATATTCGCTTAACGACAGCATGATTCACTTAACAACTGCTGTGATTCACTTAGCAACCCTGGCCAGAAAAAGAGCAAAACTCACCTCCCGAATGCCTTGCTTTGCAGTGGAAAGTTTGACCTCAATTGTGGCCGTGAGTCGAGGATTCCCACATATGAATCCTGAAGCAAGTAAGGGGTTGGACTAGATGATCTCTTAGGAGAAGGGGGCTGGATTAGAAGACATCCAAGATCCCTTCTATCCTCTTTTTCTGCTGTATTCTATTCTGTTCTGTTTTGTTCCATTCTGTTCCATATTTCTGTTCTATTCTATTCTATTCTATTCTATTCTATTCTATTCTATTCTATT